TCATTTGATCTCACATTTCATACATTGGGATGCAATCAAATAAACTACTCAAACAAACTACAGCATTAGCATGGTCATATTTATTAAGTCTATGTTAATTCACTTAATTAAATTTAAAATATAATTTTTAAAAAATTTACAAAAAAACATAATATGTAAAATAAAATTAATTGAAAATGTGATAACAATTTAGGTAAAAACAAATTATTTTTAATACCCCGTCAATATCCCTTATATAATGTAATATTTAACATATAGACAGTTATTTATAGACTTGTTATTTGTGTCCAAAGTAACAGTAAATAATACAGAATATTCTGTCACATAGATTCTGTACAATATTCTTAGCAATTAAATAATAATTCATAAGTTATTATTAGAAATATACAAATAAAATGTTTAGTATATCGAAATAATTAAAACAAATTAATATAAATTAATATATGAGGCAAACCTTTAGCTGTGAATTCAATTTGGATCTAATGATGGTTTCAATGGGACCACAAGAATTAGTCGATGATAATAGCCGTGATATGTGTGTATCGGTTTGTGTTTTGGTCAACAAAATACTCAAACTATTGTTAAATATATTTAGTTTGAATGCATTTCTCAAATATATTGCCATTTATATAGCCTTTGGTTTGCTTTTATTAAACACAAAACTAATCCAACATTTCAATCAAAATTAGTTTCATTTCATTTTCATTGCTTTCAAACAATTTATGAATTCAAATGCAAATCAATGGAAATTAACTCAAATAACGTCCCAAAGAGACCAATGTTTTTGCAAAATTCACGTCTCATTTGTATCTGACTTACAATTGGGGGACAAATCATATGTTGTAAACATTACGTCCTTTATATTGCTATACAGTGTTGACTGCATTAATTGAATGGTATTTTGCTATTTGTGTCAAACTATCGCTACATTTAAATGCTTTCACTGAAAAGTTTTGCCTTTAAATCACACATCAATTGCCGAAATGTATTGACTCTTAACCGACGTCTCAATGAATTCAAAGACAAACAGAGGGTTGGAGTGAAAAGCAGTGATGAATCGGTCGGCGCGATGGGAAAGGGACGGCAATCGCCTCAACAGTATTGCATGGATTGCGTTAAGTATGACATGAAGTGACCATTGATTTGAAGATTTATTGTCTAAAAACTTTTGAACAGAAAATACGATTTCGAGGGATATTTGAGTGCAATTGTGGTGAAGGAGGCGACCGTCCGGCGCAACGTCTTCGCCATCAAAGCGTTCAATACAATGATATCACAGACACGAGACATGACATCTCAGGCACTGATGGCGCAGATGAGACTCCAATACTGGTCTGATTTGATCGATAAGATCTTCGCCGACGACACGGAGCCCGGCGTTGAGGCCAACGAACCGATCGCTTACGAACTCAAACATGTATTGCATTTGCATTTCATATGGTTTGCTGTAATTGTTTTGAAAACTTTGCGTTTCATTGGAAGTGCGGAACCGATTCAAAGGCCACGAAGTATTGGTTCAAGAAATTGATTGAAACGCGAATGGATTCAAGAAGTTTAAGTCACTTTCCGTTTCAGACATTAGTAGATCTCGAGAAATATAGCGAGTCTTCGGTGACTCCCGTCTATTATCTGATAGTCGAGTGTTTGGCACGACTTCACGACGTGTCCGCCGCTCAGCGCATAGACTTGGATCACATGTCCAGCCATTTGGGTCGCGCGCAGGGCTTCTGCAACGTCTTGAGAGGTGTCGCACATAATGCCAGATATAATCGCTGTTATATCCCATCGGATCTACTCATCAAACATAACACATCACACGAGGACCTCATGAGAGGTAATGCAACGGATAATGTGATTGAGTTATGCTATGATTTGGCGACTATTACTCACCAACACATCGAAACCGCGTTAAAACTAATGGAAAAACTCGATAAACAAAATCGAGTCGTTTTTGTGCCAATATTTTCGATACAAAACTATTTAAATCGGTTACAAAAATGTAATTTTAATATATTTGACGCTAAACTCTATCAAAGGAATGGATTCCTGCCAATCATGTTGTGGTATAAATCAAAGACTTTATAATAAAACATAAATTAAATATAAATTAAAACAAATAAATGAAATGTATATTTATTTGTCGGCATTTTGTCGGGCGATCTCTGGGTTGAACTGAGAATTATAAGACCGGAGTCTGTCATCCATTACAACCTCTTCTTTGTTGGTCTTTCCGTAGAGTAGGTCTCGAGTCCTCTCCCTCTCAACCCTTTCCCTCTCGAGTCTCTCAGCTCTCAATTGTTCCAAACTTTTCGACATATTCTGAGAGGAAGTCCTATCGTCTTGAGAATCGTCTGAACTCTCGCTCGACATTCGCTTTCGTCTCTTCTTCTTATGTTTTTTACTTTTCTTAGATTTCTTGGACTTCTTCTTAACTATAGTTTCGGTTCTTTTGAGCACATCTTTGGACGACTTGTGACTCGTTTTCTGTTTATTAGTCTTTTGTGTCTTATCTTCCGATTTGCTTTTCATTACTTTCAGGTATTTCTTCATGTCTTCAATCGGATCATTCATTGTCTTCAGTTTGTTGTCTTTCAACTGCTTCTCCACATCGTTTGGGTCGACATCTCTAGCCATGAGTTTCATCCGCTTCTCGTGTGAATCCAAATACCAGACACTATTGGCGTCCGACTCCTTGTCCACCAAATACTGCAAAATCCCAGTCTTTGTCTCAAACTTCTCCTTCTCGTCCTTCACTTCTTTCTCGTATTCACTGTTTTTGGTCTTAATTTTGTCGCCAAAGTCTTTGAATACATCCAAATGACTGCTGCCGGCGGCCGATGTCTGCTCGCCATTGGCCTCCGTGTCCTCATCGCCTGTCTTGTGATCGTCTCCTTTGAGTCGATGCCTAAGAAGCGTAATCCTGGACTCGCTTTCGGCCAAAAGGATCCGTTTCTGTCTCTCCAGCTCTTCATTGCGGGCCTTCTCTTCGTCTCTCTTCACTCTCTCGATGTTATTCCTGTTCCTCACGTGCCATGACTTGTGGTGTAAGATATTCATCGCTAACCACCACTACTATCGACCTCTCATTACCACCAAATGATCGTTAAATTGCACAAAACTTTTGCCACAAAAGTCAGTCAATCGCTGAATGTTTTGTAAACATCTGTCAATTCATATCACGTGATAATCACATGATTGACAACATTTTGGGAAATCATATATTTAGCGCTTACTTTGAA